GCCCACCTGTCCAGGATTCACCAGGTCAGTCCGGGTTTTGAATGCTGTGTCCGGGTTTCATGGCAGCAGAAACCCCGGACACAGGATGTCAGGCAGACGGGGGCAACCAAAATTAGGATAGGGGCTACTGACCCCCCACTGAAAATAGTCTCAGCTGTGATATTCACATATAAATGTGCGGTGCTATTTACATAGGAATAAGCTGCGACTCATTCTCCCCCCAAAAAATGTCCGCCCGTCGCTAGAGTGTTCGGGTTTCGCTTGAAGAACAGGTGACAACCTTATCAAGAAGCCTCTAATTAAAGTTTATGAAAACCCCAACAATGAACTTCCCCTATTTGCTCCCTTTTATCTGATCAATAAGTACAACAACAAAAAAATCTCTGTTGATCCTGCCAGAAATCCAGTGAGCTGATCACTTCCTGTGCTCTCTGCTGTGCTGCACTGTTATCAGTTATATATTTCCCAGCAATCTCCCCTCCCCCGATAAGAGGAGAGGAGGAGGGAAGGTGTTCCATAGTCCTACCCCAGCTGTTCCTCCATAGATAGACTTCAATGATTGGGCGTTGTCACCCGAGGACAGGAAGTGCGTTACATACAGGATCACCGGGGGGAACGAGTGCAGCCGCCACACCTACGGACGGGTAAGCTGTAATATCTGACAATTCTCTTCTTGGGGTCCCGCTCACATCTTCCTTCTCACCTTTGAAGAATATGACGCCGTCCGTCCTGCACTCCCCCTTGTGACATTCCACCGCCGCGTCCAGATTGTCCGGAACCCCCGGGAACTGCTGGCTGATGAGTCGCGGAAAGCCGGCTACCGGACGCCCTTCGAAGTAACTCCAAACCTGCGAGCCCTGCAAGACACCGAGAGGAGCGCTGAGATGGTCAGAGACTGCAGACATAGTACAGGAGATGGTCAGAGACTGCAGACATAGTACAGGAGATGGTCAGAGACTGCAGACATAGTACAGGAGATGGTCAGAGACTGCAGACATAGTACAGGAGATGGTCAGAGACTGCAGACATAGTACAGGAGATGGTCAGAGACTGCAGACATAGTACAGGAGATGGTCAGAGACTGCAGACATACTACAGGAGATGGTCAGAGACTGCAGACATGGTACAGGAGATGGTCAGAGACTGCAAGCACACTTCCTGTGGAAATCCCCTGAATGGGATACATAGAGCCGAAAAATACAGAAGTTCTAACTGTTTCCTCTTCTATCCAAAACAAGAAAAGAAAAGAACAGTTTTAGTTAGAGAGACAGCTGGGGGTCTATTTACAAAACATTCACACAGCTATTCACCCAGTGAACGTTCATGTACATTGGTTTTGCGGGATATGTGGTAACAATAGTTGGTTGTATCTCTTAGTTCCCTCCGGAGTTCTCTGGAATTGTTACATTGTATCTCTTCCATGTATTTCCTATCGTCCTCAGCGCCCTCTGGTGGCCACACTGGCCTATTACTCTCTACCGCCCATAATATCAGAAGAACATCCGAGCGGAAGAGCTAACAGCCTAAGAACATTCGATTTTGGCCCGCACTCACAACAGCTGAATGTACACTCACTTTCATTGGGTGAAGGATGATAACAGACAATAAGATTTACATTCAAGATGAAGGTGAACAGAGAAGGTGAACGTGCAGAATATCAGGGGCAGTGTCCTGGACGGTGGATTGTAGTGTGTAGGGAGAGAAGGGGGGAAGATGAGTGCAGTAGTCTATGGGCTGTGCCCTGCGGCGTCTGAGCTCACCTTGAACAGGTAGATCCTTTGGTGCTCCAGTGGACGTTCCTGGTTGTGGTTGCGAAACGCGGCGTCTATAGGTCCGGTCAGGCCCTGCCAGGTCTCGTTTATCCATTGTGTGGGACCCTGAAATCCCATCCACACATGGTCACCTGCGGGAAATCAGCATGTCACACCCATCCACAGGCCTCAACATATAATACACATAGACAGTATATATATATATATATAAAGGGGGGTTGGGAGGGACCTGGTCCTGAAAGCTTACAATCTATAAGGGAGGAGCAAGTGATATAACAGGTGATCACTGCGAGGGATGAGTGGATGGTAAAGGCCGTGACACACTGCACGCGAAGCAATGCAGAGCGAAGCAAAGCTCTCCGGCACGGAGCATCACGTGCAGTGTGTGAGCTGAGTGCAGTCAGATGATTGACTGCGCCTTCAGCCAATCGGCTCGTGCTTAACAACCGGGTAGAGCGCGCGTCCCGTCGCGCCGGTTTATACGCGCGAGCCGATTGGCTGAAGTTGAAATTGTTCATCTCGGCACGCTCAGCTCCGCGAGCTCTCGCCAGCTGAGGTGCCCAGAAGGAAATTACATGACACACTGCTCGCAAAGGCAGCGCGCCACCGCTCCGCGCTGCTTCGCGTGCAGTGTGTCACGGCCTTAAGAGTTCAGATGTTGGGTGGAAGTGGGATAGTCTTCCCTGGAGAGGTGAGTTTTCTGGGGATTGTCCAAATAGTCTGGTACAGACCTGAGTATAGATATTGGATTGGACGAGCAGATGTTTTGTATCTTCTATGTTATGGACTTGCTGTACAGAAGTGCAGGACAAGCCAGCGTGCAATGTTCCCGGGTGTTCCTGCCTCGTGTATGGATTACCACTGCCACCTCTAATTGGACCCATCCCCCTTACTATACATAATACACACTGAGTGGCCAGATTATTATATACACTGAGTGGCCGGATTATTATATACACTGAGTGGCCGGATTATTATATACACTGAGTGGCCGGATTATTATATACACTGAGTGGCCAGATTATTATGACCACCTGACGTTTGTAGGCAAATTAGCTATAATTTGGCGCTGAAGTTGCTAGAGGGCCAGACCATTATAAATAGGGAAGCGGGTTGGTTACCACGACAGTAGAAGTGATTTGTTTCTGAAGATACGGGGAAACAACGCGATGTAACAGCCTTTGAACGCGGGATGATTGTTGGCGCTGGGAGCCAAGGCCGGATTTACTCTCCTTGCCGCCCCAAGGCCAGGTTCCACAATACGACATCCCCTAGCCCCCCGCGCGCCGCCAACCCCCCGTCACCATCAAACCATCAGTTGTGAATGGCAACCAGATGGCAGGGCGGCGGGGTTAGTTTCAATTTTTTTTTACTGTTTATTTATTTTTCTTAATTTTTATTTTTTTATTCAATTATTTCTTCTTATTTTTTAAA